GTTCTGGGGCTGCTGTAGAAACATGGCTGGTAATATTTGCTACGGTTGTCATTTAAGCAGGAAAAATTGTCAGTTGAAAGCTAGAAATGAGAAGCCTGTTGTTGTCTAGCTCTGTCTGACATCAAAGACTCATAGTTTCAGAAATTACAAAAAATGTTGAGTGTCACCGTTATCATTGTAAACTCCATCATGTGCTGTGCAAGAATGGAAAGCTTGATAGGCGTAGCAACGGTAACTAAGGGCGGGGCTTAGTGAACAGTCAATTCGCTCCCGGAAAATACTGAACCACCTTAGTTACTTTCCACTGAAAGCAATCTACTAAAGCAGAAAAAAACATATCCAAAAAGCTGAAACATCAAATATTAAATCAGAGAGGAAAACAGGGTTGACCGCAAAACAATCACATAACCTGAAAATTATTTTTTTTCATCCTCACCTCTGACGATAAGACCTGCAAAGTTAGACACTCCGGAGCCGCGCTCTGACTGGGTGACGCAACGGTACAGATCTTGGTCCTGATTAGTGACTTCTTTGAGGTGGAAGGAGGCGGCGAACCGTCTGTGGTTGATGTTTTTGGTCAGAGCCACAGGAATATCTTCTCCGTTTCTCCTCTGAATCACAGAACAAACACACAGACAGATCAGGTCCTGCAGAAGCTGGTGGAGGGTTAACTGCCTTGCTAAAGGTCACAAGGCAGCACTGGACCACACACGCCAACGTGCACACACACACACTTACACCCGTCCAACCCTGCCTTGCTGACAGCAGGTTTGAAGGTCATGACTACAATAGAGCCATAATGAAATCAGCAGCTATTAAACTCTTAATCATGTTAGCTGCTAGGATGTATGGCCTGGAGTCGCTGTGTGTGTGTGTGTGTGTGTGTGTGTGTGTGTGTGTGTGTGGATGACACTTTATTATTGGACGCACCAGTCCTGAGGGTCCCACACTGACTACAATGTTTCATCTCTTTGTGTTTGCCTTTTTCTACACCATCATATTGTGGGCATGCAAATATATATATATATATATGTATTCTGTATTTATTTGTGTGCACATTAATCAACATTATAATGTAAAAGTGTTCCAGATATAACCATGCCAGTTAAATAACTGGCTCACCCAAATGATAAGAAAACACATTATCATTTACAGTGGTATCTGGCTGTGTGAGTTTAAACTTATTTAAACTAATTTTTCCATTTGTGTTGCTCACAGCAATGAAAATTTAAAACTGTCAGCTGTTTTCATGAGGACAATTTTGTCCTGGTTCAAAGTAGTTCCAATGAAAACAGTACACAGTGTATTTTGTGGATTATCTAGCAACCAATTATTCACTATGTCTGGAACAAGGAGATGCTGTTAAATTTTGTAAATGTAATTTTTCAGCGCTGTGAGCAACACAAATACAATTTCATTCACCTCCATTTTATCTGAGCAGAGGCAGAACTCTCACAAACAGGAAAAATACTTTCTTGTTCACACAATACCCGTAGACTAAAACATGTTTTTGTATTAAAATGTGTACATGTACAGTATATATATAGCCTCACCTGTAGCCAGAGTTTATTGTTCGATGTGTCTCGTCCTGTAGCGATACACTGAAAAGTGGCATTTTGTCCGGCGTTCACCTCCACGTCCCCAAGACGCAGGAAATGTGGGGACTTATCTGCAGCAAATGAAGTCAAGCATAAATACAATTAGATTGAGTTTACAGCGAAGTTATATGTATTTGTATTTTAAAATGCTTTTAGTTTCATCGTATTTGTCTGTTAAAGGTGGAAATGAGGTGAGCCACAGGGAGTTATGGGTCAGGTTATCACAAAAAGACTAACCCTAAGAAATATGTTCATTATTACAGCGATTAGATTTTACTGGAGTCAGATGAAACCAAAGCACAGTGCTGCATTGCCACTGGGAGGTAACGTCAATGACACATCCGGTAAATATAATTCACATAGCTCCCAAGTCTTAACTACCATGCTAAGATATTAAATAAGACTTTTCGACCCTGAAGATGCGGTTCAGCTATGACATTTTTATTCTGGGGAGGTGATTGCAATCATAGATAGCAGCTACTATGGTGAATGAAAACACACACTCACACTAGCTTGCACGCATGCATTCATGCAAACACACACACAGATACACACACACACAAACTTGTGTGTGTCCAGAAATGCAGCTGTGAGAATGAATGCTTCCACTGTGGAGACTAAGTACTAATTCCTTTGCAAATACTTGCTCCTTCCTATTAGGAGTCCTGCTCCTCTGCCTTTAAAAGACCGGGGCTCTTATATTTTCTCAGATTTCAGGTCACTTTATTGACTAAATTAATGTTTAGGAATTTCTAGCAGACATATTTTTGACTTCTGACAGAGACAGGGACAACAAGGACCTCACAAACTGTACAAGAGGACGGTGCAAGACAGTTTATTTTTATGACTTGTAATCGATAAAATCTATTAAGAAACAAAATTGTCCTGCTGCTACTAGACAGATGACCAAAAGGAGTTGTAATTGCTTCCTTTCCAACACAGGGACCCTCCAGGAGCGTGTCTTTGGCTCTAGATGAACAAATCCTTCCATTAACAATTTGTCGTCACAACTCTTTTTTTGGCCTCTAGAAGTAAGGAAACACTCAAGCGAAGGAGAGAAGAAGACTTGGACGTAGCGAGAATTTAAAATGGATCGCAGTCCTCATCTCTTTCCTGTCAGTATGAGACAACACAGCTACTGTTCGCTCTCTGTGTGTGTGTGTGTGTGTGTGTGTATGAGCAACTGTGTGTGCGCATGTGGGTTAAAGAGAGAAAGAGAAAGTGCTGAGTGGTCAGAATCGTCTCTCTCTATGATTGCCCTAATACTGTCTCATTTCCCGCTTCACTCTCTCCTATTCCCTCTTTCTCTCCGTTTCTCCCTCTTACAATCTCTCTCTCCCTTTTTATTTCTCTCATTTTTCTCTACGACTTGTCTTTCTCCTCATGCTGCATCCCTCCTCTCCTGTGTCACCTTCTCACTTATCTGCCCATTCAACTGCAACAGAAACCATCCCAGGTACAGTCTAATTAGTGGCCAAAGCTATCAGCGTCTATTCAGCGAACTAGGACTAATTGCTGGCATGCTAATGACTCACCGCACGGGTAGCTGAGCACCTGAATGTCATCAATGGCGATGAAGCCGGCTTTGCTGTCCGAAACTTCTGCTTCGAATATGACCTGAGAAAAGAGAGAGATTGAACTCTTATTTTCTTCATTATTATGAATATTATAGAGCATCTTTTACTAATCCTTTATTTAAACAACAGTTTGCACAAAACAATGACAGTCAAAATAAATGAGAGCATCAAATAATATTCCGTTTTTAATTTACCCTTTCAATTTGTTTGTTGTTTTATTTGATTCAATTTCAGCTAAATGTATTTTTAAAAATTAAACACAGAAGAAATTATTAAAGTATTATTAAATGGAACAGGTCAAGCATACGAAATGCAGAGAAAAACAAAATAAAGCAGCAAAAACATTGGCAAGCTGATCCTAGGAGAAAACTAAAACTTACATAAGCTGCAAATGCTCTGCTTCCACATCACAAACCCTCTATGGCACCGTTACCGAATCATAAACCCTCTTTAGTATTGTTACTAAATCAGAAACAGTGCCTCTGAACTGAGTTTTAGATGCATTCTGAGTGCACTGGAAGCTACAAAGTACGACTACTGACATTTCAATTTGCTGTCAAAGTGATGGATCCAATCTAAGTTGTCACAGGATAGATAGAAAGTCGGTGACAGCCGCCAGTGGTGTGCATTAAACTGGATAAATACAAAGCTGCCATCCTGACTGCTAGATTTATACATTCTGGCCAACAAGCCAGGAAGGATAAATGAGATACTTCCTGTTGGATCATAGTAATCTCCTTTGGTACACATAAAATGGCTGCCAGAAAAATGAAAAAAAAAAAAATAAATAATAAGTAACAAAACCAAGCGTGGTAAGGTAGAGAATGATCGAATGTATTTGTTTTTCTTTCACATACCATCCCTGTGTCTTTTACTCATTCTCTTGCTGCCTCTTTTCTTGATTTGTTGGCTTTTTAAACAAGTGTGCTTTCCATTAGCAATGCACTAATGTCCATGTTATAGCTGCTGAGTTAAATTAAAGAGGGAAAATGACAAATACATGTGGAAATAGATTTTATTTAGCCACACTAGCGATATTGGCTCTATGGATAGCAATCTCGACGGTCCAACACTTTAGTCCAGACTGAAATATCTCAACAACTATTGGACTGATTTCCATAAAACTTTATACAAACATTCATGTTCCCCAGAGCTCTAGCGTACAATACTTTTCCAGATATATAATAAAAAACTAAATTCCATCAGCATCAATTGTCTAAATACTATCATGCTAACACGCTACAAAGATGGTAAAAAATGTAAACATACCCTATATGTTATCTACACACCTACACTAAACATCAAAATGTTAACATGTCTATTAGTTTTGTTTACTTCAATTTCATTTATCTGTATTTCAACACACAGAAACCATAGTAGGAATAATAAGTCGTCTCTTTATCTTTAATGGAATGATGAAAATATAAACCTTAGCTTTGATTTATGTTTTATATATTTCATATTTAAAAGATATTTGTTGTTTCCACCTGCTTCAATACATTTTATATTATGAGTGTTAATTCATTCAACAGGTGCTTCCATTTACCACCATCTCAGTTCATAAACTCATGGTCTGAATAACTTCCCTCCTCATCCTCATTTATGTCTTCTTCACATCCTCCTTGTCCATAAGTTAGCCCTCCCTCCACTCTTTATTTCTTATATCAGTCCTCTTTCTAACCATTTCTCTCCCCTAAATTCTGTCCCTCGCTTGCTGTCTCTGTTTTCTAACAGTGTTTACTCAGAGCGGAGCTCTGTAATGAACAGAGGAGAGGAGGGAGGAGAGGAGGTTGCTATCAAAAAAAGAGAGACAGAGGGAGAAACAGAGTGAGGGGGTGAGCAGTTGTTGTCATTCATCACCTGTAAGAGGAAATCTGCCGTGAACTGTTTACCCATAGCTTATCATCCCCTGCTTGTCACACTCTCCCCCTCTGTCTCCCTCCCCTACCAATCTATCTTGTCTCTCTCTCCTATCATCTTTCACTCATAGCTCACTGCAGAGCACAGCAGAAAGACATCAGTTGACTTTTAATACCTTCATCTCTGTCTGTGTGAAGACCGGCTTGCCTGTCTGCTAATCGTCGCTTGTTATTATAACCATGTTTGTTTTGGTAGCCATAACATGGCATAAGGACTTCCTTCCCTTTGTGTGCACATGTATGTGTAGAAATTAGTAATCTTTCTGAGAAGTCCACGTTATGAACCTATTAATAAACTAAGAGTTGTTTTTAACTCAAGTCCAACAAACGTCTCAAATCAAGAATAAAACCCCTGAAAGCCCAAAGTCCAAGTCATAAGCAAATTATAGCTTATTATATTTGCAATATAATGACACTTCATTTGAATAATTATTGTCTTTTAACAAGTGTAAAAACATTTGAATGTGTTATTCCAGATGAGACTGAAATAAATATTCTTAATGTTAAAACTTTCAAGCTGCGTGGATTAGAGCTGTGACTTTTATTTAGAAACAAACTCTCTAACAAATACAAAATTAAAAATGCATTCATTAATGACATATTCAACTTCATAGTGTATAAGCGGAACACAACTACAACAACACATTTTAGGACTAGGTTATGTAGGTTGCTTTCAGTTCAATTCTAACAAATTATGTGTTGACACGTTGTTCAAACCTTTTTTTTAATAAATGACATCAATAGTGTGGCTATGCAAGGCCTGCCTGGGGCTGTCTTTTTATTTTCATTACTCAGGGACTCTTAATCATTAATTTAATATAATATGAACTTGAGATTTGAATTTGTTTTTGTTGTTGTTTTCAAATCTCAAGCCAAATCTTTTGGCAGTGAAATCACAAGTGAGTCATATTTCACAGCAGTCAAGTCCAAGGCTCAAGTCTATTGCTCTGATAATGATTATGCATTTGAAAAAGTGGATGTTAAATTATTTCCAGAATGCCGGGGGTGGGGGCAAGTCATTGCTCATTTTGTTTCCGTGTAGAATTTAATGATCAAATAAAGCCCTTTCAACTCTGTGATTCGTGGATCAAATGCTGGTCATCTCTGAGGGGATAGTATTTCGATCATGCAGGTGTCAAACTCACTGACTGACTGGTGTCATCAGTGAGAGGCAGGATTACTGATAGCTTGGGTTCACAAGTTCTCACATGAGCAAAGCAACTCTGCAACGCTGAAGGCTGAGGACTGACACATAATCACTCCAGAGCGGGGATGGACGATAGCGTACATCCTCTTATCAACCAATCACATATATCACTTTGATGTATGCATGTATGGGCAATGAATCAAAAACGTCTAAATCAGCATGCAAGGAGCGTTTATAGTTGGAATCCTCTCAGTCATGGCAAATGTCAGCCAGGTCTACACACCTGCTTTCTCTAAACACATTGCAATTTAACTTCATTATTAGAAGGTTGTACTTATACAACTCAAAGCTTATTGGAACAAAACAAGAATGAGGTTTTATAATAGTGATAGAAAACAAAAACAATCTTGCCAATGCCAGAAATTCATAAAAAAATAAGGAAAGGGTTGTAACTTGTGATGATTTTTTTATAATCGATTCAAAATTTAGTCTACGAAATGTGAACTGAATGAAATTAAACGATTAATCAATTATCAAAATATTTGGAGATTAATTTACTGTCAATCGACTAATAAATGAATCGACTAATTAATGAAAATCTGAGGTCGGTTAACTGTATTGCAGTCCAGTGATAGTCAAGAAACTCATCAATTGAAAGCACCCACCTCTACTTAAATAGTGCTGCTTGGGTGTGTTTGTGCATTTTGTGTGCCCATCAATTCTTGTGTGAGTGTGTGTGTGTGACACATGATACATGAGTCTGCATGTGCCTAGTCTTCCCCTGGTGAAACCAGTCTCATTACAACTCAAGCTAAAGTGCTAACACAGAAACATGTTTGAACATGAAAAAATAGATTCATAACCTCAAATCCAATAACCTGTTTCATGGCCTGAAAAACCTACATAAGCCTCAGCAAACCAGGATGATTATGTTCAATTAAAACATGTTGACACACGAGTTTCATGCTGGTGATCTCTTCCCATAGTCACTGAGGGCCATTTGGGCTCCAGATGGGCCATTTGGAGGATGCTTTCACACTTCGCCTTACAGTAATATTATAGGGTCCCCAGGCTGTGTGTTAACATGATCGGTGTGTGTGTATGCCTGCCAGGACATTCGGAGACAAGCTATCACACAACATGCACACGCTGACTGTCATAATTTAAAGAAGAAGAAACATACGAACACACAAAGTAGAATGAATCCACTTCAACAGTCCTGCAATCATTTCTACCTCTGTGAATCTCATAATGTTTAGGTGTTGAGAGTGTGTCAGGCAGGTGTTTATTAAAAATAATAATGATGTCAATGTCCGGCATGGTGACACACCCCCATGCATGCAAACATGTGCAAATACATACAGTACATAGTGTGTGTCAGTGTCTTTCTAGCCTAATCGTCACCTCCTGAGCCTCAGTCAACACAAATAAATCAGCTGCCTGCCTCACAGCGTGTGTGTGTATTTGTGTGCAGTATCTGTGTAGTCACATGAACACAAGTGGAAATAAAGACATGTGTACATGGTAAAGAATTCATGCATGAACACGGCCGTTGGTTGTTATTTAAGGAGTTACCTGATATTCATTGGGCCAAAAGGTGGAGACGGCGAGTTCGGCTCTCAGCCAGTCTTTGCCTGAGAGACAACATGACAGTCAACACAAGCGAATAAAATCACAACGGTGTCAGAATAAGTTATGAAATGAGAGTCTGAGGGTTGCTCTGAGCCAGTCTTTACCAGTGTATGACGTCACGTTCCATATCGGGTTGGCCAGTGGACCCTTGTTTACCTAGAAATAACAAAGAGCACAATGTAAAACATATCAGGCACAAGATTAGCATTCCCTGATGGCTGATGACTAATTCTGAGACGTTTTTAACGAAACAGAAAAATACTGATTTGTAAAATAAATGATAATAATGTATATAGGATACTGTAAGTCATGTTTTGGAGCTTGTCCCTGTCAACAAGGAGTTCAGAGGTCAGAGGTCACCCTTTAGGCTGGTAGGAGCTCTGTTTTGCAGGTAGGATGTCTGCAGCAATGTGGGTTTAACTTTGAGCCATCAAATTGAAGGACAGTCTCCGTACTCATAATGCTCCCCTGCTGCTCAAGACCAAGAAATGTTAGAACCAATAAAATGGCAATCTTCCACTAATGTGTTTTCTAACCACTTCCACAAATTGTAATAAAACTGAGGATGAGAAGAGAGGGGACGAGAAGACAGGAGTGCTGTTGAAACAACCGAAAAGGAGCGAATGTCGTTTTTTGGGTAATTTAGGATATGCTCATCAAATGTCAGATAAGGCATTTAGATTGTCTTGTTTGTTAACAGTAATAGTGTTTATGTCTCAAAACTAACAAGGTGAAGGACAGATTGTTTACTGGGCAGGTTATACCATATAAACTGAACCAGTACGTCTATTATATTCTGTTCTCTCCTGTGTTTATTCTCATTACCTTCACCAGGACGTTGAGGGTGCCGGGGCTGGAGCCGTCAGGGCTGGTGAGAAGATAGTTGAAGTCGATACAGTGAGTGTCATTCTCCTTCATGACCGGCAGCTGAAACCTGGCCTTCTCCCCAACGTCGTACTGAGAGACGTCCACATACATGTAGGAACCTGGAAACGCAGAGATTAAAGATTTAAAAAAGGCAACATCACATATAATTCCAGGTAGATCGGGTTCAGTGTTTGTGAATCTGACCTGAATCAAGACCCATGAATCAGCTTATTCTTGTTTGCAGCTGTTTGTGCTTGTACACCACATACCTGCTGAATTTCACTGCTTGAACAGACAAGCAATGGTGCCCTCTGAGGAGGTAGTTAGTGGGTATTATGACTGAACTTGCCAAAGAGTAGGCTGTGTCATGTACCTACATGAGCAGACTGACTCTTTCTGCTACTGTGTGTCTTAAAAATAATCCAAGTTGAAGAAGAATGAACAGCTAAGAAAGACAGCTCCTCGTTCCCTCTGTTTTTCATAACAGAACTTTATATAGTATTTATTCATTTTAACTCCTCCCCTTAGACATTATTAAAGGCCAATTATAGTTAAATTCAAATCCTTTTCTTTGTTTTAAAGGACCAGTGTGTAAGATTTAGTGACATCTAGGGGTGAAGTTGCAGATTGCAACCATCTGAATACAGCTCAGCCTTCTAAGTGTGTAGGAGAAACTACGGGGGAAGCAAAATATGTGAAAGGCCCTATCTAGGGTTTGGTTTGTCCATTCTGGGCTACTGTAGAAACATGGAGCTTTAACATGGCGGTTCATTCTGTGTAAGGCGACCCACTCCCTCTCTAGATATAGATGCCGTATTGTAAGGTAACAAATACGCAATGATTCCTTTTTTCAGGTGATAATACACTAATGATGAAAACCTACCTATGAATACTATAAACATACCAAAAAATATTATATCACATTTATATTATATTATATTTCTGTCCTAAACTGGGCCTTTAATTAGTGAATATTTAGATTTTATCTTTATTGCACGTTGATATTGTTGTCTTTTGTGACACTGTAGTACGCAAATGGAAAATAAAAACCACTGAATCTCGAATCTAAATCTCCTGTATCTTTCTGGTAGTTAGTATTAGGCTTTCAGATGTCACTGTCATGGTTCATCTTCTCGCTGTATGTGCACGTGTCAGTGTGTGTGACAGAGTGCTTGCACACTCTTCAGTCATGCGCTCGGTTGCAATTCTACATTGACAACTTTGTCAGAGATTCATGTTATGGTTTAATTCCCATCGCCGCGACAGTAGGATGCCCACTGTGGCCTTCCCTCTTTGACATAGACATTTTCAAGCAGCAACTTTCTTGTCATGGGAACAAAAACCCCCAAAGAGCTTTTATTTTTTCCCCTTTATGTTTGCATGTTTTCACTCGCTTCTGTTTCTCTCTCCTCTCATTCCTTTTGGGCTTACAGTACAAGAATCAGTCATCAGTCCCCCCTCCAACAGACACATAAAACAAAACCCTGTTCCTACGACTGTCATTTGTTTCTCCTTTGTGATTTTGAGGCTGTTTCTCTGTTTTCAAGCCAACGACAAATAAAAACAGGAAATTGAAAAGAGAAAAGTAGACAAAAGAAAAGAAAAGCTACTTCATTCTCTTATATTCCGCATTTGATGTTCTTATGAAATTACACATTTGTATTTCTTGTCCTCTACTCTTTTTTTTTTTTTTTACACCTTCTCTTTATTTCTTGATTTTCTTATCATAATGATCATAATCATGTAAAGTGGCCAGTTTGCAGCCAAAGCAGCAACATGTTGAGTTTCTGAAGTTTGCACAGGCTCCTTAACCACACTAGTCAATATTTAATATTTCCAGTTTGTAACATATTATTATTTGCAACTACCCAGCAGTGTTACATGATCTGAGGACGATCTATCGTCTTTTCTGCTGAATTTCAATAGAAATACATTCATTTTGTTATTCTAATATGATGGTAGACTGTTTTCGGTCACTACTGATGATAAACTGGCACTGGGTACTTTGTTATGCCTACTGTCAATATTGAGTACTGTACCTTGTACCTATAGTAGCTGACTGCAGGAAATGGAGACTGGAATAAAACATAATCTGGGTATGCTGACAGGACAGTCAGTCAGCCCATCCAGATGTTCAAGTAATCAGCTCAGACCTCAACCAGATGTTGTTTCAGTGAAATATGATGAAATGTGATCCTTTCCTGCCTGATGTCTAATCTCACATTAGCTCATCACACACAGCGAGAAGGTAGCCATGGTAGTGTTTAAGTCAATGTCTAGCAAAGGGCGGAATAGATTTTAATTGAACTAGAGCGTAAACAATATGTCAATTAACTGGCTAATCAATCTTTGAAAAACAATTACTCACGTAAGTCGTTTCTCAAGCAAAAGTGCTACACGTGCTGGTTTTAGCTTCTGAGATGTCAGGCTTTGCTGGCTTTCTCTGTTTTAAAATGTTGTAGGTTGAATATCTTTGGGTTTTGGACTGCCGGTTGGACTTAACAAGCAGTATGAAGATATCACTGTGGCCTCTGGGAAACTGTGATCGATATATATATTTTTGACATTTTATAGGCTAAGCAATTAGGCGAGTCATTGAAATAATAATTGATAGGTTAATCAGTGATGGAATCAATAACATTGTTAGCTGCAGTCCTAAATAGAAGAGAACAGAATAGAGTAAAATATAACAAATCAAAACCGAACAGAACTAGTAGAATAGATTAGAATAGAACACAATACAATACAAACCATTAAAACAACAGCACGATATCTGAGCTCCAGTCAAACAAACACAGCCCTCCATCCGAACTGGTTAATTCTATTTGCATAATATACCATACACAATATGCTCTATACAATAAGCAGGAGGACAATAGAGATTATCACTTATTGTTTAGCTAATCTACTGTGAGAAAACACTTTTCTCTGCAGAATACAGCAGCAACATAACAGGCTTTCAAATAGTGCACCCGAAACATGAGCGCGCACGCACCCACACACATCAGCTTTTCAAAACCGAACACTGTATCCTCGTTATTGGATTGGCCCTTCCTCTCTCTTGATCTCTCTTCTCTTTTTTCTGTCATTACCACCCCACCATTGCCTCCACACACAAACACTCATCTATTTCAGCCATAACGGTGTAATCCTACTTCCTGGTTCTGAATGTCACCAACAAGACAGAAAATGAGAACATCCAAACTGGACTATAGCCAATCAGATCAGGCACAAGACTGGGCCAGCTCCATTCTCCATCACCAAATCTGTAATCTAAATCCATCCAAAAGGAACACACGATGGATGTCACTCCTATTCCTTCATTTTTGGCACTGATACTAAGATGGTGACATGAGAAAAGTGCCTTTAAGATGGCTGCCAAGATGGAGTGCCAGCTAAAAATACTCCTATCAGTCAGAGACCCAGATATGTCACAACACAACATGGCAAAAATATAACCTTTAGCACTACAGTTAATCATAATGCTGCCTTCTGACAAAGACAACAAATGGATTAGGCATGCATAAAAATAACTGAATAATATTTGGTAAATAGCGCTATCAGCAATGTCCAACATGTTATAGCGTTACCCCTGCATGGTTACTAAAATAATACTCAATAATATTTTAGAAATAATGCAATTCAGAGACAGAACAGTAACAATACCTAAGCTCAGACAAAAATATCATCGGGAAATATGAGTAATTAAAGATTGACAGTACATGAAACTGATACAACACCCATGCTAAGAAAGCAGACCTTGTGATGCCAAGAACATCTGACACCTGAAGTCTGCCAGTTTCTAAAATGGCTGATGTCTTTGAACTGCCAAAGTCTAAAATGGCCGCTAATAGAATGACGACACAATACAACGATGAGGCTAAAAATACTCCCTGTGACAGCCTTAAGACCTAGATATGTCACATAACAACAACAGCAGCACCGTAGTAGACGGAGGATAGTATTTTTCAGCAAAAACAGCCTACTGTTGGGAAAAGAGCTAATGGGGGAGTTTTACTTCCAGCTTTTTATGGTACCAGGTGGGATCCAAAATACCTGACAACCTCTTCGATTTAACATGCTAGTGTAAAATAACCAATAAAAAATACACGTGGGTCCACAGTAAAGAAACAAGAATGTAAGAAATGCACTTTAATGGTTGTGCTTCACAAACACTGAACTGTTTTTTTTTTTAAAGCATGAACCAAAGCTGCTTGTGTCTCCTCATCTTCTATTCCATGATCAGACCTCTAACATTTACTAACCAACCACTGCCATCACTTCCCAGCTAAAAGTCCAAGGCTGATCAAGTACTTCCAGACTGGAGAATAATTTCCCCCTCAGTATTAAATCTTTCAATTTCACTGGTATTTTTATATACCTGTCTTTAAGATCTATTTTTTTAATTTTGGTTTTTGAACATTAATATGACTGCATGATTGAAGATAAGATAAAAAATAATTGGATTAGATTGATCCCACACAGGGAAATCAAGTCACAGCAGGAGAAGTACAAAAACATTTGCATACAACCTTTGAAAGTCTATAATTCATATATATACTATAAACACATACTGTGTAGGTACTATATTTACCAATATAGTCTTATATTGTTATGTGTAATCATTTATTTTTTATTATTTATTTTACTATTTTTATTTCTGATAACTAATAAATGTGTTCCAGATTACTCTCTGATTGATTTATCATTTGTTTACTCAAATAGTGAAATCTTTAAATGTCTTGTTTTGTCCAACCAAGAGTCCCAAAGCCTAAAGATTTTCAATTAAGACAAAGATAAGTAATTATACACATTTGAGAAGCTGGAATGGGGGGATTTCCTGCCATTTTCTCTCGAACATTATTTAAAAATGTGATTCATTAACTAATCATTTCAACTTAACTGCTCTATGAATAAACTGACGTGCCTTCCTAATATAAATGCTCAACAGACACAGTAAATCTAGGATTTGCAGTTTAATTTGAACTGAATCCAATGCATCTAATACTTTGTGAACCTTAATGATCAAATCTTGCAGAGACTGTCAGAGAGGTCTGATTGAATGGTAATTTTAAGGCTGTACAGTTGGCGTTGCTGTATCTATCATCATTCACTCATTAGCGAAACATCCAGTTGACCAGAGACCAGCTCTTTTGCAGTTTAAATGCATTTTTTATCCTCCCTTATTAGACAGTACACTGTGGAAACAGGACCAAGAGTAAAGAGAGACACGCAGAGACAATGGCATGCCAAATGGTTTTTTTTAGAGTGGTACTGGCTGACAACATTATGAGTCAAGAGTATCTGCTTTAGTCCACTGAGCCACAGAGCCCCAGCCCATGAATGTTCAACTGGCACAATGCACGTTGCCAGCGTAGCATCTAGACCCTGCCATGGTGGCTAGTGCCAACATCAACCCCCAGAGAGATTACATAGAATAGTTTTATCTCTATTATAAAAACTGCCAAACCATCCCTCCACACTCAATGCTGCCTTAAGCATAAATGGTGATTAGCAACTGTGACAAATCAATGTGGGTTATAAGGAACAAAAGTATAATTGTTGGCTGAGCTAACCAATGACTCTAAAACCATTCTGCGTGAAGCCCTTAGATGACTTCTTTTCTTCTGCCAGTACCTTTGACAATATATAACACTCTGAACAACTAATCAGCTAAATGAACTCACTCCCAAAGGTCTCCGAGAGGCCAAACGCTCTTAACAAATCCACTTAAACAAAGAGGGTAGGTGTCTCTTTGTTTTCAGGGGTCAAAAGTCAAAAAGGTTCAGTGCCTATGCTTTAAAGAATGACACGGCCTCAGGGGAGACTGCAGCTTCTAAATGACTGATTGCCTGAGAAAACAGCACTTCTAATAATAGACATTACCAACGTGTCCCTTGGCAAGGCATTAAAGCAAACTCCTTCCTCCAAATCCAAAACCTAGCCAAGTGCTGTATCTGTAATCCACCCCCCAGCAACCTCATTTCGCATCCACAGCACCACTGTCCCACACCCTGCTGGCATTATTAACACATCAAATGTCAGTTCATGCTCCCGTACCTTTAGGCAACGCTCTGAACCCCCTTCAGCAAATTAACATCTCCAAACCATTAACCTGCACTGCCATCCCCGTGCCCCTGCTCATCCCACTAGCATCTACAGGTGTTAATGCTATGCTAATGCCAGACATTACCTCTGCGCTCTTGGGGCAAGGTATTTAACCTCTTCAAACTGCCAGCTCTGCCCACTCTGCACAGTGACACCACTTGGTATTAATGACACTAAATGCTAGACTCTGGCTCTGTACCATTGGGCAAGGCACCCCACCCTCGCATCTGTCAAGTGCAAGACCACAAGCACACGCACACACACACACACACACACTTTGGGAAGAAATGTGTGTTTGTGTGAAAATCGTAAAGAGCTGGTGTTGAACTGAACCTTTCTCTAAATGTCAGCGAGGCTGGGTTGTCGTGATGATAAGCATGAGAGATAAATAATGGCATCACATTGTCATGGCAACAAAGTCATAATCTTCCACAACAGAGAAGGAGAGGAGGGGAGATAAGGGGAGATGAGATAAGGGGAAAGGAGATGAGGGGGAAAGGAAAGGGGACTATAAGGCAGGTAAGGATAGAAGAGGAGAAGAGACGAGAGGAAGGAAGACAAAAGGAGACAAAGATGAATGGAGGCTAGAGGGGAAGCCATGAGACGAGGGGGACAAGAGGAAAAGAGAGCAAATGAGAGTAGAAATCAGAGGAAAGGAGACAAAGGGAGATGAGAGGACAGGTATGGAGAGGAGATAAGATAATAGGAAAGGAAAGGAGAGGAGAGGAGATGAAAGGAGACAGGAGGAAAGGACAGAACATGAGAGGAGACAAAAGGAGAGGAAAGGAAACAAGAAGAAAATAAACTAAGAGAGGAGAGGCAAACTCAAGCATGGTTGTGACATTTTAACATGGTTTCTTCACTGTGGTTAATGCCATTGTTCATCCATCAGTCAACATTCTTACTCTGTGGTTTTCATTTTGTAAAGCCAGTTACTGTCCCAACATGGCATAGCTGGTTATTGTTATAACATTTTGCTTTTAACATTGTAAAGTAGGCAACCTTCCCTGTTCCCTGCCGTTGATTAATGACCTCATATTCTGTTAATTAGACCCTCAGCCCTGAGGCAGAAAGATTTAATTTCCCCTTCATCATCATCATGGAGAAAAAAACAACTGATTAAAGAGGAGAGCAGAGGAGAGCAGAGGAGAGGAGTACTCAGATCCTTTATTTTAAGTAAAAGTACAACTATAACAATGTAAAAATACTCAATCCAAGTATAAGCCTTAAGTAGAAATATACCAGTATGTTCAAAATGTACTTAAAGTTTGCAGACAAATGGCCCCTGTGATTGATATATATAACATGATTAGATTGTTAATACTTCATCCTCTCCATCAGGGTGTAAAAAACATTCTACTGCTGTAGCTGGTCGAGGTGCAGCTAGTTTAGACTGCTTTATATATAGCTTAGAAGTTTAGTCAAGTGGTTCCAAACCTAGGAGTCGGACCCCCTACAGAGGGTCACAAAGTACATCTGGAGGGTTGTGAAATGATTAATGGGAAAAAAACACAAACTTGTACTCAAGCGGTTATTAAAATTAAACCATCACAGAAGTTTAGAGGTGAAATATCTCTTTGGTAGAACTGCTCATAGACATCTGAAACATGACAAGAGGCCAACTAGACTATGTTTTTTTAATAAGGGGTCACAAGGTTGGGAGCCACTGGTTTAATATTTAACATTATATTGTATTTTTATAAGCTTATCACATGTTGTTTTATGACAACTGAAAAGTCCCTATTGAATACACCTGTCAAATGAATGTAGTGGAATAAACAGTAAAATGAAGTGTAGAAGGGAATAGTAGTACAAAATGGAAATACTCAAGTCAAGTGCCTCTAAATTGTCCTTGAGTAAATGTATTTAGTCACTTTCCCCAGCTGTAAGGTGTTGAACTCTAGAAGTGGAGGACAAAGACAGAAGAACTGAAGTCAAGTGTCACCTTGTGGCAGGTCTGGTGAGACGTATGGCACTTCCTGGGTGTTGATGTGCGTCCAGTCAAAGTCATCATAGGGATCCTGCTGGTAATCACACTGAGAGAAGCCCTCATCGAACGTACAGCTCCCTGCAGAGAAGGAAACACAACACGGTTTAGTTCACCTCATAGGAATCAATGATTACTGACTGAATTAACCAAATCTAACAGTTTTTAAAGCAACATGAAGTCCTCTCTTGTCTTATCCAGTAAACCTTGGATTCTTGTCCTGTATGTTGTCTTTCTGCGTGCCTGTCTCAGCTCATTAATAAACCACCAGGAGTCTGAGCGTTAACAGTCATCACTCAAGGCCAGTCAGGATCACCTCTGACTCAACCATCAGGGCCTTCAAGCTGATCATCTGAGCCCATCACCACGGCCTCGGGGGAACCATGTGTGAGCTGGCCGCCTGTGGCCCCGCCTAAACAGGAAGTCGCTCTAATACAGAGAGACGCCACTTGTCCCTGACGGCTAACTGAGATAATCAACTTGCAATGATATGTGGCTTGTACTGGCAATATTGCTGATAGAAATAGCATGCTGGATACTGCTATCTGATTCATTGACCTACAAGTGATGCATGGCTTGTGTTAATAAAATGGCTAGGAGAGATATGGCTAAGAAAAGCCACAGTGCCATCTGATTCAAGTCACTGGTGGTTAGTGGACACAGAGATGTGTCCTCTGCGCCCCCCTTGACATTGGCTCAAGTAGAAGTGGGTGATATGGATAAAATCTTCCTTATAGTTTTACGATAATGATAATTATACACTTACACAGTACATATACTAGACCAATACACTGAGAAACTTGTCATAGGTCAAATATATAGATGAGTGGGAATAAGAACTGGATAATATTGACAATATAATGTCAGGATAATTATTTGTGCCTTATTATTCCTGTTCCCCATTGTTACCACTTAACTGTAATGCATCCTTAAAGAAGCGGAAAAGATTACATTTATATCTCAACATTATACTTAGGGCTGCAACTAACAATTGTTTTCACTAGACTGATTTAATATTTGGTTTATAAAATGTCGTCCATCACAATTTCCCAAAGTTTATGTCTTCAGATGTTTTACTTTGTCTGTCCAAAACACAAAGACATTCAGTTAACTATTATAGAGGTCTAAGAAAACCAGAAAATCTTCATATTGGAGAAGTTGGAACCAGTGATTTTGTGGATCTTTTGCATAAAAAAATACTACAATATCATACAATATCCACAACCACAAAGGAACAGCTAAGAAAGAAGGTCTACGAGCACAAGCCACCATGAAGCACTATCAGCAACCAGCACTGCCAGCAACATAAATCTCCTAGCATTCAGTTAGCGCTACAACTTTGCTACCTGTGTCCTAGAGCGAGCTGCGGCGGCTGTGATGGAGAGCGGAACGACAGGCCCTCAGATACCCCACTGATCTGAGCTGCTGCTACAGAGGGATACCAGGAGGTGACAGCCGCCGCCGGAGGAGAAACAAGTTAACATCAAACTAAGCGACTGTCTTCGGCTGCCGGCTGTATGGCTGGCTGTGACTCACAGCCTCAGAGATGCACTGGATCACGTTCCTCTCGGCGTCACTCTTTAAATCAGCCTCTCTTCGTGCAATTGAGTTCACTCCCATTCAATTCAATTAAGTCTTTGTCACAGCGAGACACCTCCGGTCATAATGCGAAAAAATGCTGGGACATGTGGAGGGCACCAAGTACCGCACGGCGACAAACATTTTCTACTCCAAACTATTGTATTATGAACTCAACTTGGATGCACAGAATCAAAACACATCTCCTGGTGTCCAACAAATGCTGCTGAACGTATGTGTGTGTGTGTACGTGTGTGTTTGTAAAAACGACATGACTTCCTGTCTCCCACAGTGTGTGTGTCAGTTTACATCTTGCTGCCGGGTAGTTCTCTCTGCATGGGTTAAAAGAGCAAAGCGTGTAGCTCTGGGGTGCATCTATATGGAACATAGTGCCACAAACTGGTATGTATGAAACAATAGGAAACCAACTGCTACACAGTTATACACTGAGCTAAATATCACATATAACATGACATTTTAATAATGAGTAATGAAAAACAGAGGAAAATGGTGAAAAATAAAGCTCACTGTTTCCTAAAGTGATGTCCTCAAATGTCTTGTTTTGTTCAAGACATCCAGTTTATCTGTTTATTCAGTCATAGAGGTCTAAAGAAACATTTTTTTCTTCTTAGCTTTAATAATAAAGAGTCTGATGTGACTGTGATTAAGGTATGCAACCTTTTTGATGGCTTTGCGTGCACGTGACTGTGATGATATCAGGAGTAGAGGAAGTGAGTTATGTAGAGAAAAATTCAAGAAACATATTTTTCTGTGCTTGAAGCCAGGACCACATCTAACACCACAAATGTCTCAATGGATATGGAAGCATTGGCTTTCATTACCATCTACACACATTCTCCTGGTGGGTAGTGGACGTGACCACACGCACAGAGGTACTATAGGGCTCTTTGTAAGAGTATTGGTGCAATTAAACTGTCTTTGTTCCTAAATGACCTCCAAATGGCTCAGTCATTCAGACGTTCAGTAAAGATGATGTTCAAGTTTAATTAACAAGGTGAGGATGTTTAATATTAGCCTTGATCGTTGAATGAATATGATTTGTTTGAAATATATGACGAGATAAAACAAGCATATATCAGTATATTAGGTTTGATTGCTAATGTGTAGGTAACTGTGTTGTGCTAGCACTGCTAACAGCACTGGGGTTTAATGTGAAGCTGGTGAATGGATGGTGGGCACTCAAAGATAAACTGTCACATGAACGTTGTGAGTACAAGCACTTGGCGACTGTGCCGGGGAAAAACTTCCTTTTGCAGTCAGTCTTATGTAAGTTAAAGTAAGAGGGGGAAAAAAGCAGTTGGTATTATACTGTTGGCGACACTGCTGCTACTGGTGGCTGGAAATTAAAATGTGATAACACTTGTGTATTTGTGAGTATCCGTTCAGTGTAAAGCCTGAAAAGAGTGTTTTCTTGAAGTGATAAGCTGTTGGGCTGCTGTTTTGACATTGCAGAAGTACTTAGCCTTGGTTTGCTTGTTACAGCATTTGTTTGGCCTTGTTTAACCTTGCAGAAGCTACAGAATACATACAGAAGCTCCATTTAGTTCCAAAGCTTTTTTTTCTGGAATTTTTGCTTCTGGAAGCAGTTTACACAACAACGTTGGATTTAAACCTACTACGTGTTTAAAATATGTGCTGTGGGCTTTTAACTGTGTACATACACACACGGAGTTCCACTCAGCTCTGACACAGTGCCGCGGTAGAAGAGGTATTTTGCCTTGGATTAGCAGGAAAGAAGAAACATGTCCTTGTTTTAAATTCCGCTTTACTGACTGAACATTTCTCAATCGTGCAGCATTCCTCTGTTTTTGTTTGTGCACCTCTGATAGACAGTCTCGCTGCTTTCAGTCGCTAACATAATAAACAAAGTAGCTGTGTGTTCGTGTGTGTCTACTGAAAAGGGGGTCTGCAGAAACCAAATATGTGTGAAACTGTGCACACACACACACACACAAACCTCACGCTAGCTCGCCCACGTTCTCAGTTAACACTTCTCCCTTTCCTCAATGTCCTGCCAACTTAAACCAACACACACACATCAACAGACACATGCCTCTGACAGTTCATCATTGTTGCCAATAATGAGAAGAGCAGAACTTGAACTATTATTTTACCTCTGCTGGGGAAAAAGACTCAGTAATGAGCCATGTCCTGCCCAAATGTTGTAACTTTGTCTTACATAGTCACTGGACACGTTGTTACAAAAAAAAAAATCGATTATAACCACTTTACACGGGTTCCAGTGCGTATTTTTACTGCGTCTCCCTGCATGTGTTAACTGTATTATATTGTATAACAAATCCCTTCAACAATTTTCCAACTATATGCACGAGTGTGTGTCCAGATGGGTCATTATTGCCCCCCTCCTCTCTTGATTCACAAGGACACAGAGAGAGAGAGACAGAAACCGACTGCATGCTAATCACTTCCTAATCAGCTTCTGTGATTGGGTGCCTCGCTAATGAAATAATGGCGACTCATTTGCATAATAAAATAATTAGAAGACTTGATAAAGGCTCAAGGGCAGAGAGAGGAGCCACACACACACACACACACACACACACACACGGTGACACAGGACAGCCCCGGTCTTTTCTAAAAGATTGTTGAATGGCATCAGACGCAACATCTGCCACCGTCACTCACAATCATTTTGTGGTGATTTGCATTGACCTCCACCTCCAGGAGGAGGGTCGAGCAAAAGTGCTTTGACCGAAACTGTTGAGAAACACGGGTGCAGACCGCCCCCAGGGTGTCGCCAGAAAGAAAGAGTGCCGCGTTCATTTCTCGGTTATTAGCTTACATCAAGATTATTAGTTGGCAACGCGGCAAGAATGTATAACAATAGCTGGTTTGATTAGCTTTCCCGTTCCTCCAATGTGATCTAACCGATCTGCAGAATAGGCAGTATTAAATCAGATCTAACAGCTCTAGTCTGCTCAGATAGAAGTCCCCGGGACACCTTTAAATCACATAAAGGTCTGAGGTGCTTTTTTTCTTTCTCTAGACACTTCCTGAAAATCTATTATGACAGAGAAACTCCAAGAGACGGCTGATTATCGCATCTAAGCATGCCAAGTCAATACCTGTGCCCTTGTGCAGAACATTCCTCCTCAGTTGTAAAGTAGTACATTTCTCAGCAATATCGGAGAATCCCAACAGCGTAGCAATTATGATAAAGAACTATACATTTAATCGCATACATGTTGTAATTCAGCATTTGAAGGGATCCTCCAAGGAAATAGATAGTACTGAGCACTCGAAAAGGACTTGCTATTCTGTGAACTGGATGTGACCTGCGCTTACGAGACGATGAGCTAATGTGAAGAAAGCATTCAGTCCTGTGAATTGTGAAATTAATATGGTGGCAGTATGGTTTGAGGACTTCAACAATCTGATATGTAGGCTGGAATGTGTCTTCCCTTGTTTGGACTGAAGACAACACAAGTACTTCCAGGCACTCAGTCTGGAAAGATATACGG